CTTACCCCTCACTACCACTGGGCACGACGCCATCCTGGTCGTCGTTGATTCTCTCAGCAAGATGGCTCACTTTATTCCGGCCAAGAAGTCCCACTCAGCCGCTGACACTGTAGAGCTCCTTGCTGACCGTCTCATCCGCTACCACGGCTTCCCCGACGTCCTCGTTTCCGACAGGGATCCTCGTTTCCAATCGGAAGTGTGGTCGCAATTGTGCTCACGTTTCAATATAACCCGGGCGATGTCTTCTTCTTACCACCCGCAAACGGATGGCCAGACCGAGCGAGTTAACCGCACCCTTGAACAGATGCTACGCACGTACATCCAGACAGATGAGAGGGAGTGGGAAGGCCTGCTGCCTGCCTTGGAGCTAGCGTATAACACCACCAGTCATTCCTCTACTGAGCTTTCCCCTTTCGAAATCATGATTGGGGAGAATCCCTTAACCGCAGCGGACCTAGACATTGTTGGTGCTTTGGCTCCTACGCTCACTCCCCCTATGACTAAAATCTTCCGGCAGCTCTGCGATCGCGCACAGAGCCATATCCTCCAGGCAAAGTGGCGTCAGAAATACTACGCTGACGCCCGCCGCAGGGCTGTGGAATATAAGGTGGGCGACCAAGTCTGGCTTCGTGGTAAACACTTACCTGCTCTTAACCATTGTTCTAAGTTTGAACCTAAATACCGTGGGCCCTTCACAGTGACCGAACGCATTGGCACGGTCGCTTACCGTCTTGCCTTGCCCCCCACATACGAGGGACACAATGTTTTTCATGTTTCACAATTGGTCCCAAGTCATCCCCGCGATCCCGCTCTAGTTCCACACGAAGCTCCAATGGGCTGGCCACCAACACGCGATGACGCCGGCAACCCTACGGACCAGTATCTTGTCGACTATATCTTGGACCAAAGAGGGACTGGAGAGGAGGCGCACTATCTTGTTAAGTGACGGGGTGTTCCCGAGGAAGAGGCCACATGGGAACCCGCACATCATTTGGCGGGTTGGCAGGGTGTCCCGCCTTACTTCGGGCGTGGCGGTGCCGCCAGCGCAAACGCCATCCATCCTGACGACGTTCTTCTTCTTCTTCTTCTTCTTCTTCTTCTTCTTCTTCTTCTTCTTCTTCTTCTTCTTCTTCTTCTTCTTCTTCTTCTTCTTCTTCTTCTTCTTCTTCTTCTTCTTCTTCTTCTTCTTCTTCTTCTTCTTCTTCTTCTTCTTCTTCTTCTTCTTCTTCTTCTTCTTCTTGTTCTTCTTCTTCTTCTTCTTCTTCTTCTTCTTCTTCTTCTTCTTCTTCTTCTTCTTCTTCTTCTTCTTCTTCTTCTTCTTCTTCTTCTTCTTTCTTCTTCTTCTTCTTCTTCTTGTCCTTATTCTCTTCTAATGCTAATGCCATGGACGCACACGGCGCCCAGCTCTTCCTTCCCCCTCGTCATGAAGGCTGCCAGCCCTGCGGGCGTCGGACGCTGACGGACTCACACCGCTACGCCTCGGGAGGAGCAAGATGGTTTCGAGCCTGAAGACGCCTTCGCTGGTAGCAGCGCCACGCACGAAGCAAAGCTGGGCATCCTGTAAGGTGATGAGCGGGTTCCCAGGTGGCTTGATCTTCACGGGTTACGCTCCACTTGACGGGGTAGCGGGCGTCGGCTCCCGAGCCGCGCTGGTCCATGATATAATCTACCTCATACTCCTCTGTTGGATTGCCTACCGCGTCGCGGATAGGGGGCCAGGCAGCGTCTGCTTCCTGGGGAACCAAGTCGGGAGGGCTGGGGCAATGAGGAACTAACTGCGAAACATGGAAAACGTTTTGGCATTTATAGGTGGGAGCAAAGCGAGACGGTATGCCACGGTCCCTATACATTCGATAATTTCAAAGGGTCCTCCGTAACGGAGCAGCTGTTCGAAGCCGATAGATGCTTGCTACTGAGCTAGACCTTATTGTCCACTGCATACTCCACGGCTCGAGGATTCATGTCTGCGTAGCATTTCTTCTGCCATTTTGCCTTCAGGATGCGACGATGTGCTCTGTCGCAAAGTTGTCGGGAAAGCTTAAATCACCGGAGGAGTGGGCGTAGGCGATAACGCGATCAAGATTCGCAGCAGTCCGCGGGTTCTCGCAGATCATGACCTCAAAGGGAGAGGAGTCGGTGGAGTCGGTGGATGAATAGCGTGTCGTGTTGTAGGCAAGCTCCAGGACGGGAAGCAAACGCTCCCACTCGCGTTCCTCAGATTAGACGTAGGTATCAAGCATGTGCTCCAGTATGCCGGATGGCTTCGATTTTGTCTTCTGCAGGTTTGATCCCCGCAGCAGAAATGGTATAACCCAAATATGTAATTGTTTGCCTTGCAAACTTGCACTTGCGGAATTTTGGGTAGAGCTCATGTCTAAGAAAAGTGCTTAGGACTTGTCGCAGGAGAGAAACGTGCCCAGGGAGGTCGGAACTATAGATAAGCACATCATCTAGGTACGCAATAACGCCCTGTCCCAACAAAGGTTGTAGAAAGGCATTAATATTGGCCTGGAACGTAACCGGAACGCCCTTAAGGCCAAAGGGCATTACTCAGTACTCGAATAGCCCGAGGATGGACCGGAAAGCCGTCTTCCACCGGTCTTCGTTAGCCATACGTATTTGATGGAATCCTGCTTCAAGATCCAAAGTGGAAAAATACTTAGCGCCTCCCAGTATCTCCAGAATGGTTTGAATGGGAGGTAGTGGAAAATCAGGGGCTATCGTAAGGGGATTTAGAGCCTGGTAATTAACAACCGTACGCATCTTCCGCTCCCCGGAGCCATCATCACGTTTGTCTACCATGATCGTAGGAGAGCAAATAGGCGAATACGTCGGTCCGATCCAACCACTGACCGAGAATTTAGCTATCTCCTGCTTGTGGAATGTGATCTGATCTGGGGTCATACGGTATATTGCAGATTTCGCTGGAAGTTTTCCAGGCATAAGTAGAATATGGTGATCATAAGGGCGCTTCGGCGGTAATCCCTTAGGTAAGTTATCGGGAGAAACTGCTCGATGCTCGTGCAGCACACACGGAATATCCTGCGCCTCTATCGAATTTATCCATTCGTTGAACAGAGTGTGCTCGAGTTTTGCCATAGGCCAGGGAGACTCCTCATCATCCTCCGCTGCCGCCGAGGCGGTTGAGGCCAAAGGACTACCCCAGCCCGAGGACGTCGGGTGATTCCCAATTAACGCGCAACAAAGCGCGCCTTGCCATTCATCGGAGAACCTTAGGGGCACCGCCGAACCGGCTTCGGGCAAAGCCAGTATGAGATGCAAACCGTGCAGTGGAGCCCTGAGATTCTTTGTGTCAGCCGCCGCCGGAGGAACGAGCGACGTTATCCGTGCTTTCGCCTTAGTCTTCGCGTGGGACTTATGCCGCCTTGGAGGCGGGCGTAGGAATATAGCTGCCTCCTCGGCTGACATACCCGCCACTTGTTTTGCCAATATCTCATATGCTTGCTCTGCTGGGGTCCTTGGGTGGACTTCGGTGGGATAGTCACCTTGCAGCTTTGCTTCACCAGTCCGAACGACCGGTAACTAACACCACTGGCCATTCACATAGGTTCGGAGTTTGTTGGATTGGAAATACCAGGCCACCTTGTGTTCCGTCAGCCAATCCAAACCCAAGACTAACTCATAGGGAACGGTTCCCACTAAAAAGTCCCCGGAAAAACGTGCATGTCCGCCCCACATCGTCAATCTCGTCACAACCCGATCAATGCGTAGTTGTTCACCTGCAGCTACGGTGAACCTATGCTCTTCTGGAAGTCTCCGCACCTTCAGGTGCAGTCGTTTGACTGTTTAAGGACATGAACTTCTCGAAGCCCCAGTGTCCAAGAGGGCCTCACAAGGACTCCCTGCGAGCTCAACGCGAAGTGCCGCCGTCGCACCCACATAACACAATGCTCCCCCTTGGTCGTAAGACTCTTTCGTGCAAGTGTTTCCGAAAGCGGCTGAGTCCCTTCCGCGTGTCCACCGCTCGTGTTAGTTCCTTCCGCAGTGTTGTGGAGTTGGTTTTCCTACTCAAAGGAGACTGGAGTGGGATTAGGGCCTGTTGCTACCGCACACGTCATCCCTTTGCCATGGCTACGCGGCCTAGAACGCTCGTCTCCAACCACGCCTAGGCTGCCCTGTTTAACCGTTCCGTCTTCTCAGTGATAGGACGGGTGGGCTCCCTCCTGCTCTTGTCCTCCGGCTCGGGCCGGCCTCGTTCATACGTAGGACAGTCCCGAGCATGGTGTCCCACACCGCCACACTTCTTGCATATTTCTCCCGGACGTTTGGTACTTTCCCCTTTGCTGGGGCAGACACGTGCCGGAAGTCCGCGACCCTGACACTCACAGCAGTTCGCGTGGGTTTCCCCAGGTCGATTTTCAATTTCCTGGCGCCGATGGGGTCCTTTGGCTTGGATAGCAGCCCTAATGGCTCGACTGGTCCTTTCCCGGACTTCCAGCACACTCTGCTTGGGCTCGTAGAGACGTGCTGCGGCTGTCGTTGCTTGTTCCCACGACTGATATTTCACCTGCCCGTTATTGGTGATTAGAAGATGGAGGTCTGCCGATAGCCCAGTGCAGTAATAGTCAGCGAGTTCGTCGGGGGCAACACCCAAACCACGCTCAGCCACAGCCCCAAACCAGTCCGTGTATTCCTTCGGGTTACCATTCCACCGTACTTTATCCAGCTCCGTTAACAATTGACTCTGCGGCATTGTTTTGTCAAACCGCTCCAGAAGCCTGCGCTGTACGGTCGCCCAGTCGCTTAG